CCTTCGTGGTGTAGTGGTCAGCACGCTCAGCGCGTATTCGAGAAATCAGTGGTTCTAGTACCGGTGAAAGCACTGCTCATTTTGCATGACTCTTGCTTCAAAAAATATCTAATATCTCTACAGGGGCGCCCGAACTAAAAATAGGTGGTGGATGATGATTCTCTACCACCAGAATTTGGCGATTAGGTCCCTGAATCCCTAGTCGTCCTTTAAAAAGGGAAAGTGTATAAGGTATTTCTCCCACCTTCTTAGCATGCCTTCGTAGTGTAGTGGTCAGCACGCTCGGCGCGTATTCCAGAAATCTGTGGTTCTAGTACCGGTGAAAGCACTGCTCATTTTGCAAGACTCTTGCTTCAAAAAGTATCTAATATCTCTACAGGGGCGCCCGAACTAAAAAAAGGCGGTGGTTGATGATTCTCTACCACCAGGATTTGGCGATTAGGTCCCTGAATCCCCAGTCGCCCTTTAAAAAAGGGGCAGTGTATAAGGTATTTCTCTTCGCCTTCTTAGCATGCCTTCGTGGTGTGGTGATCAGCACACTTGGCGCGTATTCGAGAGGTCATTGGCTCGAGTCCCGGCGAGGGCATTGCTCATTTTTCATCTCCCAAAAATCCTAATGCCTGTACAACCTTCTGGCGGGTTATGACAGATCTAAAAACAACATAATGTCTACATGCACTCAGTCGTAAGTAGTGCGGCTAAAATAATAATATTGAAAAAATGCAAAATTCAGATTGTTTAGTCAGGTGATTTTTAATGGGTTTTCTGATGAGATCATATTCGAACCTTATTTTGAAAAAGTGAGTTCAGTTTTTGTTTCAGTTCAGATATCATTTATACAAAATGCTTTTAACAAATTCCAGTACGATTAGCAATTTCTGGTTATCTAGCAACGAAATTCGGTTTATTTCTGCCTTGCAAAGCTCTCGTGTGAACAGCTGTTGTAGTAATTTTCTGTTTTCTTTCTTCTTCATCCCAAAACAAAGTTCCCTCTAGGCTTCCTCGCAATCCTATTCAAGCAGGATTTCCAATTCTTCAGTGGTAATAAAAAACTAAGAAATAAGTTTCCCTACCTGCTCTTTTGCTTGTTTTCTTTGCTTATGCACAGATAGACCTTTTTATATTTACGCTCTTCTGTGCGAGGCATTCGTTTCGAAAGGCATCATTGTATTTATTTAATTATTTTGCTCAATTTCGCTGTAAAACTAAGCATTCATGATTGATTCATGACAGACTAGAATTTATGAAATCTTATATTTTATATATTTTTAGACAGTGATACCCATTGAAAAGATTGCCGGAAAGAAGCCTGAGCTTTCTTTTCTTGTTGCAAAAGTAGATCGTGCCTTTTATACCTCGAAAGAGGTGAGCAGTTTCCTGCCTTAGCAAAATGAAATTCGTGTTTGCGATCATATGTCAGAAACTGATGCATGAAAAAAACGAAAGCAGCATTTAACAAGAATTAACAATGCGTGAAACATAAAACTTTAAATTTATCTTTTATGCAGTCTCGCGTATTCAGTTCTCAGAATGTTGTCATTCGATAACAATTCGGATGGATTCTTTAATTCATTTTTCATCAAATTTAATTTATATGTTACTGATTAACGAAACAATTAAAAAATTCATTAATTTCTCAGGAATTTTAATATTTACTTTTAATTATTATAATGTATAAAAAATTACAAAAATACTGTTAATTTATAAAATATCAAATTGAGAGTTTTATGAACAGTTGACACCTTAATATAGTTAATAAAACATATTTTTAACGCCATATGTTACGCAGCTAAGAAATCATTTGCGTTTTAAATTTTTTACTACAATCCATCATTAAGTTAAAAAAATTTGTTTACATTTTTGGAATTGTTAAAGTTAACTTCAGGCCCACCAGCGGCCGAGCGGTAAAGTCGCTGAACACTGGTAGTTCGGTCTGAGGTTCGAATCCCGCGAACGGGTTGGCTGCATGGGTGTTTTCGTGGTTTTCCCCATGTGTAACGTGTTCCCCATGTGTACGAGCCAGTTTCCCTTAGAAAGTCCTCCACGAAGGCATCCCTCCCCTTAGGCAGATAGCCCTCGAGGCTTTGCCGTAATTAAATAACCTAACCTAAAGTTAATTTCATTTTCAAGAAGTTAAACTCCTATCTGAAATTGCAATTCCCTCCCGCCCCGCAACAGACATTATTTTTTTAATGCATAATGTAATATTTAGCTTATTGTTTTTATAATTAAAAAATAAAATATGGTTATTAAACATGCATTAACACTTAAATAGACTACTTAGGTGTTGGTCCTAATCGCTGGAACATACCATTTGCGATAGCAATTTATATACAGAGAAATCTAAAAATAATTTCATGAGCAACTTCTTTTCAAACTTCTAATAAATGTATGATTATTACTTATAATAATGTATTCTTTTATAATATAAATGTATTCATAATACCACCGAAATCCATATACATATATATATATATATATATATATATATATATATATATTTAATACAAGACATTTATAAACAGCATAAAAACATTGAAGTAACCTAAAATATTGTTCATTCCAGTACATAAAAAATGTTTTTCTCTTTTAATGTTGAAATTTGTCTGTTTAGAAAATTTTGTTATTTTTTAGAATGGCTTAATCTGATCTGTTATTTAATCCTATATTTAAAAAGAATTAAAATGAATTTGCAAGAAACAAAATAACATATTTTAAGATACCATTCAAAGTAATAATTCTAATAGCGAAAATTGAAAAGTAACTAAAATATGTGTTGAATTAACATAAGAAAGTAACGTATTACAAATTTGCAAACCTCTTGGTAATGTAGCATCTACACCATCATTTTTATTCCAAAGAGGCTTTGTCCCTGAAGGATTATGGTTTTCGTTTTGCCATTTTGCGACTTTAAAAGACTGTATCACTTTTCAAACCATTACCACCAAATACTATCGCCCTGTATTATATTTAAAGAAATTAAATAATGAAGAGTCTGCATAAATATATATGTACGTTTCTTACACTGTGATAAAACAACGGTACCTAGAGCCCTCCAGTTTTGAATGACGTAATCCTACTGCGAATATAGGCACCTGAAAGCCTAAATTTGAAATTTGGAATTTGTTTTATTATCGATTCACATTTTGTAAAACTTTAACGAATTTTTGATTAACAAACTCAACGATTTAAAAGCGAGCAATGGCAACACTCTACTGGGGGGAAACCTTTTTTATCTCCAGCGCGCGGAGCTGTGTATCGGAAATTCTAAAGATGTGCTCATTTTAAAACTATTTTGAGACATTGCTGTTGAACTGAATTTTATGGTTTTAGTGCAAAGAACATTGTACATGATTTTTAATATATGAAGGTAACACACAAAACGTTAAAAAAAAATCTTTAGACGTTATTTAAAATCTGAAACCTTTCAGATTTTTTTTCAGTCCAAAGTGGCAGTTTGCCCTGATTGACTATTATTTTTCGTTTTGGCATTTTGCGTTGAAAACTTTAAAAGGCTGTATCACTTTTCAAAGTTTTGCTACTAAATATTATCGCACTGTATTATATTTAAAGAAATTAAATAATGAATAATCATCAGGAATGTATGTATGTTTCTCACACTGTGATAAAACAACGGTAGAACCATCAAAATTTGAATAATGTAACGGGCATGTGGAAGCTCTAATTTGAATTTGAAATTTATTTTAGTATCGATGTCATATTTTGTAACACTTCAACGAATTTTTGATGAACAAACTAATCGATTTCAAAGCGAGAAATGGCAACACTGTACGAAAGAGGAAAACATTTTTATCTCCAGCGCGCGAGTCTCTGTATCGGAAATTCTAAAGATAAGCTCAATTTAAAATTATTTTGCGATATTACTGTTGAACTCGATTTTATGACTTAAGTGCGAAGAACATGATATTTATTAAATAAAGGTAACGCACAAAATGTTAAAAAAAGCACGTTTGGACGTAATTTAAAATCTGAAATTTAGTTTTTTTTAAAATTCCTTTGACCAGCAAGCTGAAGAGGACTTAACCCAGTGAATCAGCCGTTGTGTGGATGGCCGAAAAGAAAGAAAGGCCTTTTTATCATTCTGAATCAACTAACAAGTGTGTCTAATTTAATGAACTCAGAACCTCAAAGGTTCTTCGTTGAAAAGTCTTCAGATATACATTGCTTAAAAATTTTATCTGATGTTTTAAATAAAAGTACATCTGACATTTCATTTACCCCGGGGCAGAAGTAACCGGACATTGTCTAAAAAAGAATTTAAGGTTCGCTATGACTAAGCAAGGAAAAAATTACTATCACACTCTATCAGCATAAGCAAAACTCTCCACTGAAAATGTAAAAAGGAAAAGGAAAATGCAAGGAATTATAATAGGGACAGCAGATGAATGCCGTAGTATTTGGAGTTGTCCTTAACCCTAATAATCCGTAATTTAACTGTACATAATCAAGAATATGTAAACATTGTATCATTACATAGCAGAATAAAATATGACCTATTTTTAATGTGAGACAAGAACGAAGATATTATTCAAGTTCTCTTATAAATGTTATACTTCAGTGCAACTTACCTCTTTTTATTTTTTCTTCTTCATTACTCGTGATGTTTATTTTACTGTTATTTATCAGTCAGTCTTTAGTTTTGAATAACGATTTAATTTATGTAAACAAAAAAATTTATTTTCCGGATTAAAATGCTTCGAAATACATGTAAAATATTAAAAGTTTTTTGTTAATTATTAATATGAGTTAATTCCTCTTTTTAACTACTCTAGGATTATCCGCCTTTGAATTAACCGTAGATATCATCTCCGGCATTATTCTGGTTAATGGGGAGTTGATTATATAATATACGAATAGGAAAAACTCAACCTGTTTTTATTAGAAATATCAGAACACTACGTAAACAAACACCATGCGAAACTAAAATGGGAAATTGCACTTCTTATGAATAAGAAGTGAGAGCATTTGTTCAAACTTACCAAACAATGGTGGAATCCTCTTTTCTGAACAATCTGCTGTCTGCACATGTCCGACGTGTCCGAGAAGGCGATAAACTTGTCTCTCTGCTACATCATCGCGGCCACAGGTATCAAAGATGTAGACACCTACACAAAGAAATCTTTGTATAAAAATAACTCGACTATTTTTAAACATTAGAATCATCTATGATGGAATAAAGTTTACATCAAATACGACCAGTTTACGTGCAGGCTTTGTTTAAAAATGATATATGTGTTTAATGTCAAAAGATAAACTTAAACTGAACAATTTTTAAAGAAAGAATGCAGTTCGAATTTGATGAATTCTAATTTTATTTTTAAATAAGTTTATAAATTTAAGTTTATTTTTCTATATTAAAATTTTTCCCTTTAGAGACAAAATTTTAAATCTATCTCAACTCGATTTTAAAATAAAAATAACAGAAGAGCAGGCAAGAAAAGAACAAAGAATAATAATCTACCTATTATATTGAAGGCTCCACGTTTTCCGAAAGAAACAACACTACTTCACTTTCATAGAAAGAAAACTTCGAATTCCATTGTTTTCTCTAACCCCTTTCCTGCATTTATGTTTTGAAACTATAAAAAGGAATTAATTTTAGATATTCCTTGTATGTTAATGGTCTATTAGTGTCGGAATGAATAAAAACAAGTTGAATACTGATGTTCAACTGGGTTCAGTTCCAGCGAGTACGCACAATGGGTATTTTCGAGTTTCATCGTGAGTTTCCCTTCGAATATCCTCCACGAACAATCTTTCCTTAGGTAAATAGTTTTCGTACACTTTGCTTTAATAAACTAACTAACCTTGGATGTTAAACTGGACAGGCGTTCTTAACATCTTTCTCCCAATCTTACTGTAAAGGTTTACATTAATATACTCAATAATCTTATTATTTTACCTCTATTTTCAATTCAGCGTTCGTCAGTGCCTACCAGGATGAAACATGGTTAATGAAATTAAGCTCTCAGTTCGAGAAAGAGTCTTGCCAGCTATCTCTGGCCATTTAACTCCGCTAAATCCCCCTGCTACTGAAGTGACTCATCGGCTTTAGCTTCACTAACCGAACAAAGCTTAGTAGAGGGTCATTACTTTGTATTTACTATTTTAATTTGACAGAAACATTTGTTCTGAATTTCTTACTAGCAATAGGTACTCTGTTATATTTTTTATGTTTTATGTAACCGTCAGGCTGATATGCAAATAAAAAGGTTATTTTAAACTTCCATCTGAGTTTGTATTTTACTGTACTTCGGAAGTAAGACGGACGTTAAATTATTTGTGTGTGTTTGTGGTTTTGGAGTTGACGTTTAAAGAAGCTTGGAATCGTACAGCATAGACCTTCACCTAACGTGGTCATCATTAGCATGACTTCCAAATAGCTTTAACTCAGTTATGACTCCAGTTTATTCTCTGTGTGAATGCGTAACAGGAGGCAGGTTGACGAGTGTCACTCCAGAGCCCATAGTCAGCTTGACCATGATGTACTGGAAGTCTTCATCTCAATGGGGCTTAAACGCGGAAACGAATGTCACAAAGAATTTGAAGAAATATAAATTTGTGTAAACACATAAGAAACCTTGGATAATTAGCCTTTATTAAATTATAATAATGTATAATACTGGTATAGGGACTTTCCAGACATAGTGTACAAAAATACTCCTGGGAAACTCAGATATTTATTTCTGCCTCTTTTAAAAATTACTTCGTGGCTATATAATTTTAATGAAGTGGTTCATTACCAATGTTGAGATCCTGAGCATCTTCCTTTCGGAAATTGGCCTGATAAGCCGCCCAGACTGCGGCCATTGCACGTTGTACTGCCTCTGGCCTCAGTGGACCGCATCCTTCAGTTCCATTAGCAGGAGGACCGTGCACATTAGACAAAAAGCCGATATTGACTTGCCCAGGATAGATGATAGGGGCTGGATCAGTTCGTAGCTCCTGGCTCGTACAAGAGACGATGAGCAGCAGCAAAACCAGGCGAATCATCTTGCTGTTAAAATTAGATACAGTGATATTAACAACATGTTCAATATTTAAATACTTTATAAGGTGTTTCTCACGCCTTCTTAGCGAGTCTTCGTGGTGTACTGGTTTGCACACTGGGCCATGATTAGCAGTTCAATTCCCAGCGAAGACGATTGCTCATTTTTCATTTTGCCTGCTTCTAAAATACCTAATGTCTCTACAGTGTCACTGTAGAGACATTAGGTATTTTTTGAAAGCAGGAGTGATGAAAAATGGGCAGTCGCCTTCCCCGGGAATAGAACAACGGACCTCTGAAATACCGGCCCAGTGTGCAAACCACCACACCACGAAAGCTCGCGAAGAAGGCGGGTGAAATACCTTATAACTCGTATGGCTATCTAATACATTTTAACAAAGACAATAAAATTATAGTATACAAAATGAACATGCGGATATGACAGACAATATTTCTTTTTCTTACTGCAAACTCAATGGAAGCATTATTTAGACATTTTAAAAACAAAATTATTTAATGTAGATGTAATATAGATGGCAGTGATAAACACCATTTGTGGATGATCGGTAAGTCCTAGAAACCCCGTTGTTTTAACTTTCTTATGGTGGGAGTCGATACAGGGTAAAGTACAAACAGTACATTACCCTGTATCGACTCCCACCATAAGAAAGTTTGGATCGACAGCTCCTCATTTCATAAGTGGCTTCTTCGTTTTAATAGTCGAATGGTGGCTCATGATAGGCATGTTCTTGTGCGATTGGATAGGTATAGACTTGTAAAACACATGATCTGAACTTGACCAATGTAAAGGTGCACTACCCTCCCGAGTTCAACAAGTCACCTTCAGCGTTATTGTTTTTATGAAGAAGTCTTCTCGCAATGTAACTAGTAAGCAGCAATTTCAACTGCTGAAAAAGAGACGGAAATGCCAACCTGGAGCGTGCTTGATAATAAAAGCTATCGCTTTCATCACAACACATACGTAATTGTTTTAGAAAACCCTGAAGACATAAAGACGCTAAGTCCTGTTGAAAACTTAGATGATGACAACGATACCACTTCACGTGATGAATGGAATATTCTACAAGACGTTGCGAACCGTAGTGCTAGTTTTGGGGAGTTTTTTAATGCAGATGACGATGTGGCGGTGTGTCCTTAAGTGAAATAGGATATACAAGCAGTCGTCTGTGAGGTGCAAGAAATAGCATCACAAGAAAATAAGGAGAACAATATCATTCTGCCCACCCGCCAGGAAGTGTTGCACACCTTAGATACTTTACAGTCCTTTGCCGCAACTCCTGAATTAACCGCTGGTTTTACAGAAGGCATGAATACAGTTGGCCGTGAAATTACCAGATATTTTCGTTCTCGTCTGTGGCAGCGCAGTACACAGAAATCTTTCTTCAGAAAAATATCTGGGACATTTTCTTAAGTTACAGTGCAATAATTAATGTAGTACTCCAGTGTTTTCTGTGATGATATACTAAAATACGTATGCACGTTATATACGTTTATATGTTACATAGGACATACGTATGTAAGACGTATGTACATATACACTGTAAGTGGTTAGTGCGTAGAAAAAGCAATTTGTCAAAAATAAAGTTGGGTCTCCCAGTTAATGAGAATTAACACGAACTCTTAACTTTTCAGTTGCTTGAATTCGTGTTAAAGATGCTTTACTATAAGACTGCCCAAAAAATAGTACCTCTACACTAAAAATAAATAAATAAACAAATAAATCTGATAGCCGTCAGATTTTATATTACGCTCAAAGGGGCGTTCTTTTCATATACAAGTTTCGAAAGCAGGTTCGAGAGTGTTTGGGCTAATATCCTTTTGGGCTAAAATATTTAAAAGCAGCATATCTTTAGAATTTCAGGTGGACCATAGCGCGCACTGGTGATAAAACTGCTCGCTTTGAAATAATCGAGTCTGCTAATCAAAAATTCGTTAAAATTTTACATAATATGAGACAGATTATAAAAAAAAAAATTTAAATTCAAAATTCGGGCTTGCAGTTGCCCACATTCGTTAAAATTTGATGGCTCTAGATATTGGTGTTTTTTTTACAATGCGAGAAACATTCACGCAGATTCTTCATTGTTTAATTTATTTAAATATATCTAATATAAGACGAAAATATTTGGTTGTAACAATTTTAAAAGGGATTCAACGCTTTTAGTGCGTTTCGAGACTAATAGCTCTTCTGGACTAAAAATAATGTTTATAAAATTTTGTAATAAATTAATTAAACAGTGAAAACTGGTTTCATTAGAACGTTGGAATGCATATTGTGCACAGGAACTAATTAATATTTTTTTATTAAAATATTATTTAAAATTTTTGAGGTGCTTATATGTCTCATTGTAAAAGATAAAAAATTTTCTTGTGATGCACAAGAAGCTCAAAATAAAAGCTGAAAGTTTTTGCAATTTTTTAGTCCAAAGGGGCCATTTTCCAGAACTACAAGCATTATTTTACTTTTCAAATTGTTGCCACCAAATATTATCTCTCTGTATTATATTTAAAGAAATTAAATAATGAAGAATCTGCATAAATGTATGTATATTTCTCGCATTGTGATAAAACAACGGTACCTAGAGCCACCCAGTTTTGAATAACGTAATCTTCCTGCGAATATATGCATCTAGAAGCCAAAATTAGAAATTTGGAATTTGTTTTATTATCGATTTCATATTTTGTAAAACTTTAACGAACTTTTGTTTAAGAAACTCAAGGATTTTAAAGCGTGCAATGGCAACGTTGTACAGAAAAAAACATTTTTATTTCCGGCGTTTGAGACTGTGTTTCAGAAATTCTAAAGTTATGCTCAATTTAAAATTATTTTGCGATATTGCTGTTGAACAATTTTATGGTTTAAGTTCGAAGAACATGATATTTAATGAATAAAGGTAACACACAAAGTGTTACTAAAACGTCCTTTTAGACGTAATTTAAAATCTGAAACCTGTCATATTTTTTTTTTTTAATTACTTATTAACGTTTCGTTAAAAATTGTTTTATACTGTTCGGAATCATCAAATATTGGAAGACGTGAATTTGTAACTTTTTTTTTAATTAAAACATTCGCTGCAATGATTACAGTTAAAATAACGACAAGTAAATGAAAGTCCTCGGTAAGTAACAGACCCTTTACCTTTATTTATTATGAAAAGTATTAATAAGTAAATGTAATCCTAAACTGAAAATTTTAATTAATTTCAAATCGCTAGACTGTCACATCAGAAATGCAGTCCCTGAATGATGATAAATGACCCTGTTCTGTTTGTTGGAAATCTAAAGAAGATGATCAAGAGCATTCTTGTAAGGGATCCTCCACTTACATTCCTTCCTCATCTAAACGAAATAAAGATCATCAACAGGGCGTAATCGGCACAGAGATAAACTTAAGCACGGAAGTCACGGTTTATTCCCCTCCATACAAAGCCATTCTTTTCCATGTTTTCCGTAAAGAAATGAAAAATGATCATCCACCTTTTTTATTTTATTGTTTTTGGTTCGTTAACATACAGTTCGAGATGTTGCCATTTTGTATCGTATGAAAATAATGTTTCAGTTCTCTGATATTTCGGAACAACACATAGTTTAGAATAAATTGAAGAAACCGGTTCTTGTTTTTCAAATCTTTCTATCGGTCATCGCTCATCTATTCAACCTCGAATATACAGTCAAAGGGAACGCTAGAGCAGCGCCTTTTTAAGACAACAAAAATAGATAAATAAAAATAAACTAATAAAGTGGTGGTTTAAGGCACAGAACAGTTTTTGAAAAGCAAAATAAAGCCAAATTCTTTTTTAACGTGTTATAAAATAACAAATTCGTAATGGTTAATTTTTTCATCAATATATAAAAAAAAAAATCATAACCATTAGTTCCCTTAGAAAGTCCTCCACGAAGGCATCCCTTCCCTTAGGCAGATAGCCCTAGTGTGCTTCGGCATAATTAAATACACTAACCCCTCTTCTCTGTAACAGAGTCAGTAGATACTAAGAAACAATGAATTCACTAAATCATTCAAATAATATTTGACGTTGCAGATTGGTCCGAAAGTTTCCGATTAAGTCAGATGATTTGCGACTCCTTTACCAAACCAGAAGCTATTTTTTGTTTCAGTAAAAACAAATTTATCATTGTTGAGCTCATTTTACCAAGTGTATGAGACTGCAATGATCATTTTAGTATCATTTTAGTGCATAGTTTTCCTTTTGTTTCAGTATGGAAGGGTTTCAAAAATTAATGGGATGTTAAAGACAGATGTTCATATTTACAGATGATATTTATAATTAGATTCATATTTACAGATGATATTTATAATTAGATTCATATTTACAGATGATATTTATAGTTCATATTTACAGATGTTAATATTTGAAAGAATAAAATTGAAATTAAATTTTGAATTCGTACGGGTAGGAGCGAAAAAAAGAATTATGCGATTGTTGCAAAAATTAATCATCAGCTAAGCAAATTAACAATGCAAAATAAATTTATTGGTAAACTGCTTTTTCGTTGGATATAAGTTGTTAATACATTACTTTTGTCTGTTAAAGTATTTAAAAGATAATATTTTTGATAATGCATCTTGATAATTCGATCAGATATTTCGACGCCTGGTGGGTGAATTAATTGCGTTTTCGTAGTATATTGAATAGAACAGAACATATTGATGGTTTGGTGATCAAGACTCCATTGTGCTTACTAGTAATACACAGCTTTCAACATGATAATTATTTGTTTATGCTTAATTAATAGGCATTTCATTTGCTGTAAAATGCTTAAAGTTTCGTATAACATATAACTAAATCTTGAAGAATATTTTAGCGAGAGAAGAGCATTGGGATTTTATGTAATCAAGAATTTATCCGAAATACTGTGCATTCATTCACAAGCAATTAACACTATAGTTAACGTGCATTATGAAATTTAAAAAAAAAATTATTTCTTTCCGCTAAAAATTATTTACTGTTGAGACTTGAAACGTCCAA